ACCCTCCAGAGGCCTAGTGGAGTGAGTCAGAGCCCTGGGTCCCTCACCAGCCCTGGGTTCCCACACCCGGTGTTCAGGGCCCAAGATGCAGGTCTGGGTGCTTTAGGCAGGGAGTGAGGAAACACTGGGACCAACAGTCTGGCCTCTCCACCAAGAGAGACAACCATGAGCCAGACCTCCAGAAATTCTAAAGAGGCTGGTAACTGGGGACCCAGTGTAAGACCCAGGGACCTGCCTGCACTCACAGTCCAGGCTGGGCAGGGCAGCTCCTTAGCCAAACACTGAAACCTCACTCCTGGGAACCAACATTCTCCTAGCCGTCTGTCCTGCTTTTCCTCCCCTGAAGCTTTTCCGGTTTACCCCAGGTCCTGAGAGTGCCTCCTCTCCCCGAGTCTGCATCCTTCCCCGGGGGTACGCGGCAGGGCCGGCCCTGGCTGCACTCCCAGGGTGAGTCTGACAGAGCTGGGATGGGCCTAAGACAAATGTGCTGCGTGTCCAAGCCTGTGCCAGGATGAGGGGCCTGCCCCGCTCCCCCAGTTACCTCCCAACATGGGGTTCCCCAGCAGCTCTTCCCAGGTACAAAAGGAGAGGCATCTTTGCAGCCTGGACTTGGCTAGGTGCTGGAGGGGCTGATGCCTCGGCCTCTGACATTGCCCTTTTAAGAGCCCTCCCCTGCGGGGCCAACCTGTAATCCCAGCACTTTGGGAGGCCTAGGTGGGCAGATTACCTGAAGTCAGGAGTTCAAGACCAGCCTGACCAACATGGTGAAACCCCATCTCTACTAGAAATACAAAAAATTAGCCGAGTGCAGTGGTGCGCGCCTGTAATCCCAGCTACTTAGGAGGCTGAGGCAGGAGAATCACTTGCACCCGGGAGGCGGAGATGCCATTGCACTCCAGCTTAGGCAACAAGAGCGAAATTCTGTCTCAAAAAAAAAAAAAAAAAAAAAAAGGCCCTCCCCGTGGGGGCGGGGGTGCTGCAAGCAGGTTCGTGTTGCAGCAACCCAGCAATGTGCAGCTCCTCTATCCACCTGCCAGGAAAGAGGCCTTGAACTCCAGGTCTCTACCTCTCTGGGACCTTCGGGCAGAGGTAGGGTGTCCCAGCCACCTCCAAGAGAATCTCTTGTTATGGAGGGGCAGGTCCTTTTCTGCTGCTCTGACTGGCTGGTTCACAAACCCTGCGTTTTGGAGACTGGTCCCTGTCCCTCCGTAGGACTTGGTTTCCTTCCCCCCACACAAACCTGCTGTCAAAATAGTCTGGGAGTTTATTTTTATTGAGGTGTAAATTGCTGATAAGACTGTGTGACCTTCTGGGACAAGTGGTTTTTAAGCCCTGAAGAAACTGAAGAATTAAGCTCCCATCTGGAATAGGTTTCATCCTTGCCTCCTTCCATCTTGTCTCAGAGAAAACCTTTTTTTTTTTTAAACTCCTTCTCCAAAACCAGGTCTTGTCTACTTGTGCCCTGAATCTCACCACCGTCCTGTGTCGCCTGAGTCCTTGTTCTTTTTTTTTTTTTTTTGAGACGGAGTCTCGCTCTGTCGCCCAGGCTGGAGTGCAGTGGCGCGATTTCGGCTCACTGCAAGCTCCGCCTCCCGGGTTTATGCCATTCTCCTGCCTCCGCCTCCTGAGTAGCTGGGATTATAGGCGCGCACCACTGCACTTGGCTAATTTTTTGTATTTCTAGTAGAGATGGGGTTTCACCATGTTGGTCAGGCTGGTCTCGATCTCCTGACCTTGTGATCCACCCGCCTCGGCCTCCCAAAGTGCTGGGATTACAGGCGTGAGCCACCGCCCCCGGCCTGAGTCCTTGTTCTTGAGCTAGTTCTCTGCTGAACCTCCTGTGCTGCGTCCCCTCAGTCCCGAGCTGCTTACATATTCACCATCTGAAAACAGCCGTCCTGCAGTCCTGCTGCTCCTGTCAAATTGCAATCCCATCTGGCTCCTGTCCCTCAAAGATGAACTTACAGTGGACTCTTGCAGGCTCTGCTACCTCATTAACATTCGTGGCCCTTCTTCCCCCCATCCCCCTCAGAGGGAAGGTGAACTCCTCCAGAGGGAACTGCATGAGGGGACAGGAAG